AGACAGACAAACAGACAGACAGACAAACACACACACACACACACACACATAGACAGACAGACAGACAGATAGACAGACAGACGGACAGACAGACACACACACACATACACACACACACACATGTTGGACCATCAGACAACCTTTCATTCTGGTTCATCCACTTACAGACAAACAGACGGACAGACAAACAGACGGACAGACAGACAGCCAGACAAACAGACGGAGAGACATATTAACAAACAGACTGACTGACTGACTGACTGACTGACTAACTGACCGACTAACTGAATGACCAGACAAGGCGACAGACAGACAAACTGACAAACAGACAGACGGAAAGACACACACACACACACACACACACACACACACACAAACACACACACAAACACACAGACATGTTGGACCATCAGACAACCTTTCATTCTGGTTCATCCACTTACAGACCAGACAAGGCGCAGACAGACAAACTGACAAACAGACAAACGGACTAATAGACAGACATACATACAAACCAGAGCAAACCGACAGACAGATGGATAGACAGACAGATAGACACAACAGACGGAGCAGACAGACCACAAAATTGCTTTGTGTTGTCCATGCATATCTTTGACCTATGCAGGATTTCTTCCTGCGATAGAGATTCGTCAATGCAACATAGATGATGTTCAGCCATTCAACATTATTATCGTTCTTTCTTGTTTGAATAAGAGGGGAGGAAGCAGGATTCGGAATGACCTTTTTTTCTCTCTCTCCCCTCATGTTTAAACATTTCTTTTTGCAATTGGACGCTATTGAACTTTCTGTCGAGTGAACACTCCGAAATTGGTCACGACCGCAAAACAGAACAGACAGACAAACAGGGGGTGGAAAAGAGAGAAGTGCGTGCACACGTGGAAGAGGGAGAAGAGGGGTTGATGCTAACAAACCCAGCATATAAATTACATGTCACTGGATGAAAGAATGTAGAGCCAGAGAAAGGAAACAACAAACACACTTAGTGTACACTCACATACGGATACTGTGATGGTTTGCGCACATGTCCACAACAACAGAACAGACAGACAATGGGACCTCCACCAAGCCCGTGGCAAGAAAAGAAACGACAACAACCCCTAATTCAACGAGTGACGTACTTGTACCCAACTTCTGTAGACGTACAATGCACCACGCACCTACAGACCTACACAACCGTCCAAACGGCAAACATCTACGAGCGCATTTCGGTAAAGATCCAAAGTACATGCATTCACATGGAAACCGACAGCAAGTGGACCGAAGGCTAGGACACACATTACATAGACCTCCGGGTGCCAATTAGTCTTCAGAAGGGCGGAAACGGAAAACAAGGCCGAAAGACCCGGGACTACGAAAGTAGAGACAACTGGCAACAGGTTTCGCCGTTGGAGCCCACCGAAAGGCCGATCATTCGGAAAGAAAGGAAGAAAGAAAGATTTGAAGAATGGAAGACGAAGAAAATGAAAATGAAAAAAAAAAAAAAAAAAAAAAAAAAAAAAAAAAAAAAAA